TGAAGTTTTTGGAGACCAACTCAACATTGAAGAGTGAAGTGGGGAAAGATTTATAAATCGCACTTTATAGATATATGATTATACCAAATGTCAAATAATTCACAATAGAATGTTCTCCAATACTTTTGAAGTGAAGATAAGTATAAGATAAGGCTACTTATTATCATCGATGGTCTCCCTGTTTGTTGAGGATGAGATCTTGCTACAGATAGTGGTGAGCGAGAAGATAGACAAGATCTGAAATGAAAAAAAGTCCCTAAACGATCAGGATTTCGCTTACGACTTATGTCTCAAGCCTCATAAACACGAAAATATACAAGGGGGAACAAGTAAGCTGACATAAGAGGTAAGCAACACATAACCTTTAAGATCGACACAGAGAAGATGGAATTATATAATATTGTCGCACTTTCAAAAACTGGATTTGTCGCAGCTAAACATAATACCACCATTTATCCTGACGATTTTACAGAGAACCGTCATTACCAGCTTTTTTCGGTTGATACGAATCCACGTGAAACTCTGGAATCTCATGAATGTCTTCCAGAAATATTGCATCCTGAATGGGTTCCATCAGATAGCCACACACACTGACGACTTAAGTGGTGACAACTGATATAAGAGTAAAACCCATGGGTCCCATGTCTTGACAAAAGCGACGTAAAATATGATATGAAGTTCAGTTTGACAACGCCTTGCCTTTTATCTTACTTAGCGTTTTGAATAGAATATAGCGATTCGTTCTTTTGCATTTTCAGTTACGGTGGTGTCGTGTTGCAGGTGTGCAGTTTCTAGTTTCACGCTGAATCTGAAACTTCTATTGGCTAACTACTAGCTAGGGAAATGAGTGAGGTATATGCGTATATGGAGGTTATATGTGTGTAGACCATGCCCGTACTTCATACGTAGCTAGAGAGTACATCACTGAATCAACAGTTTACTTTTCGCTTAAATTACTTTGACTAGAGCTTTCAATGTGCTTTTCATGCTCTTGCTTCCTTGGATCTCTATCATACAGTTTGATCTGAATAGATTCTGGAAAATCACGCATTATATACAAACATTTAGTTCACAAGTCTCATATTTAGTTCAATCTATTATATCAGATTTGTTGTACTGCTAACATATCGCCTAGTCTACTATTTTGAGAAAATAAATCTAGTTGATACCCTATATATATGTTGTGTTAGTGGAGGCAGTATTTGCAGAAAGCTATAGACAGACCCACGTTCCACTTTTATTGCTACTCGTCAACAAGCTGTATCTATAAGTTTGAAGAAACTTGTGTTTTCACAAGTTTCAAACCTCCATGATCCATCTGTGAGGTTGTCAACCGATCTCCTGTAGACTGATGGCATATCCCTTTTTTGAACTGCCTCCGGCGGGTATTAGGGCACTGCAGGAAATAGGTTAGAATACTTCAGAGTGATTTCAAAAAAATTCAATAGTAAACGTTCAACTTTTGAACTTACTGCCTCCTTTATCCTTTACATTGTGCAGATATCAGCATTTTCTGTGCAACAAATGTAACGCAGTTCAAGAATATGATGCTACCGGTAATAAGTACTTCAGAAAAACATTTTATACGAAATGTCACTTAAAAAGCATGCAGAAAATATTTGTCGTTCAACGAACGACGTAATAGACTACAATGCTGCAGTTAGTGGAGATACACAATAAACCCACCCAACTAATTATATTATGTTTATATTCTTTTCATTCTTACTTCACACTTTATTTCGCCAAACAGTTTGTGACGTATTGATCTCAAATGATAAAAAAGGAAACGGAATAACAACATAAAACAAATCTTTGTTTCAGCGTATTTCCAAATGGTATATACACTTTACTGACAAAACTGAAACCAGAAGAAAGTTCCTGAATAATCTTGACGAGTGATAACATAAGTATATACGCCTTGGCCATTAGGGTGTCACTGAAGTGATGTATTTAAATTCCTTGGTGCTGACAAAAGTTTACACCAGGCTAACCAATCTTGGTAACTAACTGCTCGTATTGTACCTCAAATTGCTGTAAGATGGTTGGAGGCAGTGAATAGCATAGTCAAACCTAGGATGCTTATTAAGTTTAATGTGGAACTCGTCAGTCAGTCATTCAGCCAGCTGGATGAGTACAACTGTAATCCCAAGTCAGTGAGCTACTCTTTCCGAACCACCCCTCACCGACTTAGACTCAAACACTCCACATAGCAGTTTCTTCGAAGCCAACGGATTATTCCACATGAATAAAGCGGGCTGTGACAGAAACCTCTTGTGAGAAACAGGGGAAAAGAAACAAAAATTTCCCTAGACAAAATGATTCTCGCTTGTCAGAAGTTTAATTACCAGTTAAGATACCAAAATCTTTTCTTATTACTTTGAATAAGCTGCCGCCTTACTAGTGAATTCCATTTTACAACCAAGGTTCATTTTGCTCAATGAAAAAATTATTTTCATACCCACCATTTTCTTTCTATTTCATTTCCCTATCCACCACCCCGCTGTTAACTCTGGTCGTCATCCAAAAATATTTTCACCTATGATAATAAGAGAGACTGTAATCTTCTGTATAAATGTAACGAGAAGTAAGTATGTGTCTGCGTGTCTACCTATGTAAAAGGACGTTCAAAATGTATTGTGCCGACGAATATACTGCACGTTTCAGATAAAAATTACGTATTCATGAAGGGAAGGAACTGTTTGCTTTAACACCCACAATTTACAAACTACATAGTTCAAAATGATGAATTTATGTGGTCTGCTTGATATACCGTATAAATAATTATTAAGTAATGCAACGTGTTTCCATATCTGCGTATTGTGCTGAGAGACTTTTACGATTAGTTACTGGCGAGTGCTAATTAACCTAAATTAAGTCTGCACCACCGTTTCTTTCGCATCGGATCGATCTCATTAGTCACTGGTTTGACTAGGCTTACAGGGCAAAAGGATTTCGAACCGCCTAGATTCTATCTGGTTGCCTATTTGAGTTTATTGGCAGTATTCACAAATTAAAGGTCAGAGTTTGCAAATTGAAAACTTTAAGAAAAACATTTCCTCCTTATTATTATTTAAGTTAAACAACTCCAGGGTCTTTAGGTTACTTCGAGCTGGCAAGCACTACTGGTTAGTATTCACTCGGACCCCAGCCACTCATACCCATCATTAGTTAGAATATACCACCATTCCCCACTGTCTGAGTGAGTGATCAGCGAACTCCTTCCCATGAAACCTGAATCCCCCGATTTTGATCCCTGGTGGGTTCTGTAGGACTACGGCTAAAGAGTCTCCAGCAGGACGAGACGTTTATCCAGTACTCCCTAGTTTGCGTGACAAAATGCTCGAAAATAACGTCGGAGAAGGCTAGAGTTAGATTTCCGTTCATCCATGCACTCCTTATCAGCTAGTATTAAGCCCGGTTAAGCGCGGGACGTTGGGCATGTGGCTGTTGACCTCATCACGTCAGATTAAAAATGCAAACGCAATTGAAATTTCAAAGCGGATGTCTGGAACCCTATATTCCAGCCGGAACGCAAAGAAACTTTCTATATATATATATATATATCATGTAGATAGGTCGAAGTCACCAAACCGAACAAACAATGACTCATAAAATAAATTGTGCTCAAATACTGTTCAGAAGAGTTCAAGCATACTAAAGCACTCCAGTACTGAAGAGAAAAGACTCTAAGAAGAGAAATATGTACTAACTTTCTCTTCAAGAAAAATAAATACCCATACTATTTCATCAGAAATTAAATGTTTAAACTGAAATCTAAATAGCAACAAGAAACCATCCTCAAAGCCCACAAGAAAATTAATTCTACCATATATATAAAGAGTACCTCTGAAATAATAATACCTAGAATACTGAAACCATTTAAATTATACACACCACCCAAACCGACCAATATAATCACTTCATTCAATATTGTGTAGAATAAAGGATCCAGTAGCGAGAGGAGAAGCGATCAACACACCATCTACAGAATAAATTGCATAAGCTGCTATAAACACTACACTGGTCAAACGGGACGTCCCCATGGAATCTCAATCAAAGAACGCAAATTAGCTGTGAAAAAAACACGATATGTATTTTTTTGTATCAATGCATGTCGACAATCATGGACACAATAATGACTGGGAAAATGTAGAATCTTTAAGCAGTGGAAACGCGAAAAAATACAGTCAAGAAATTTCTAGAAGTCTGGTACTCAAACGGGTATCAGCGGTTACCAAACCCATGACAATAGGCAAAATCTACCAAATACTAAAAAATAAAACACATGACAAAAATGTCCAGTTTTAAGTGAATAAAAATGATCAGTGTAAATTAACAATCAGTCACAGCAATGGTTGTTAGGAAATACAATTATATCATCATTCTTGGAGGAGGAATTCAAATAAATTTATTTCATCGTAAAACCTGCGCTGAAGGGATGTTGTCTGTAAGGACAACTAAAACTTAGCACTTAAATCCACCGCCTCAAAGAACACAACCAAATCCAAATCGTCCACCTGAGCTACAAATCTTTCCTAATAATTCAAAACAGACTTACCTTAACAGAAGCTCAACCAGCACTCCCTCACACCAAAAGAGGAGGCAAGAAACAGAGGTAGTATCCTTAATGTTCATTGCATAACATAAAATTAGTTTAGTAGTAAGTTGATTGTCTACGTAGGGAGAAAAAATAAGATAATGAATACAAAGAAACTAATTAAGTATCAAAAGTTACATGATATGTAATTATTGAAACATTGAGTATTCGACATTTGTCTATCAGTGCTGTGTGAATGCGAAAGTTTTTGGCGCTATAAATAAAATGATGGCGCCAAAAAAGAATATAAGAAGACAAGAATCCAAAAAGCATCTTCTGATGGAAATGAAACCGGATAAAATGAAATTAAAGACGGTGAAATGAGTAATAAATCATTCTCAAACATTTTTCCTTAGTTTTTATACAAAAATCTAGATTACATGTGTGGATATTTATGTTAATTTTAAATATATCGGGAGATGCGAACTGGTGTCTTTTTGCTTATGCAATTTTGAGATTGCTTCTGAACAGATTTGTCTTTTACCAACATTTCGACCTCTACTACTTTCGTCGCGTTCTTTAACTCTGCCATCAGTTCATCCTTTTTATTATTTCTATTATTATTATTATTATTATCGTCATCGGTCTTGTTCAAATCTGTAGAAAGGTGAGCATTACTAAGGTTGCTGTAATTGTCACTTTTTGAATGTTGATTCTGCTGAACAGTAATTGATAATTTTTGAAATTTTTCATCTTCTGGGGTTAATTTATCAGTGCAATTCTTGTGGACAGTCTTATCTGTGATTGATGGAAGAGATTCGACAGGGAGTTGTTGATTCCCATTTGACAATATGTCTGTTTTACTTGTGACTATACCTTTGAGGCCATTCTTATTATTTACTGATGGTAGTTCAGACTCAACTAGGTTTAAATTGTTGCGGTCTTTAGAATTTGTCAAATTTAGTACCGTTGATGATGAACATGTATCAGTAAATTCAATTTTGAATCCATAGCATGGCAGATTATTATTGACTGGTTTCACAGAAATATGACGACGAATATATTGTAAGACCTGAAAAAAATGAAAAGGAAGAGCTATGATTAATAATCGTAATATTCATGTTAGGATAAAATGATAGAGGGAGAGTTATTGTTTCTAGGGGTTCCAACAAGTCTTTGGGTGGCTGTGAAGACAAATACTCACTAATGACTTTGGTTTACAGGGATGATGCTATATGGCAAGTTAATGGATGTTAGAATTCTTGGGCCAGCTGATGGATTCCACCATCTCAGTGACTGAATCATTCCAAGTTCGCCTTATATCCTGAAGCACCTAGGTTTTTCGATCCATGATAGCGGAGTCACGGGTGAGTACTGCAGAAAAGTCTCAAGCAAGGATGAAACACCTGTCCAGTACCGGCCTTTTATGATCCTCTAAATGATGTGTCAGCCAGTTGCTTGTCAATCTTGAAATCAGTCATGCCCCTGCAGTCCAGTATGTAACAACCAAAAGCGACTCATTGTGGACTGAATACAGGGAAGCAATCTTTGATTGCTACTGTATTGCTGACCGAAACATCCTTCAGTTACAAACAGCTGCAAAACGTTTCAAAGAAAGCAAAAACACAATTATTTATATGGTTCTACTTGATAATATCGCAGTCAGCCAATGCCTTCGACTAGCAAATACCCTTTGTTCTGACATGGTGGACCTCACTAGATTAAGCGAGTTCCAGCCCACATGTCTAAATGTCAACCAGACTAGCATCGTAAACATCTTAAGTTAATAGGTGGTTCAGTCCCTGATGAGGTTGTGGGCGCACACTGTTGTTGAATGGAAAGTCCCAAATTAGGAGGACAAGAAGGTTTTCCAGTATGCTCCATGGTGATTTTCAGTGATCCGAGTTCTCACAACGCAAACATAATTAATACTATTCTAACTTACCTTGATCACTTCATGTGGATATGTTGATCCTGAGATTGTTTCGTTGGATGTTGAACAGGAAGTACATTTTTGTCGGTCAAATGTATAACGGAATTCATAAATATTTGGTGGACAGGAGAACGGATTCGTGCTAATCGTTGTCGTTATTACTGTTGTTGTGGTTGTATACAAAGGGGAAAGATGACAGATAAATACATTCACGCAACCATTTTTCGATGTCCAAATATGATTACAACGCTGAAATAGGAATTTGAGTAGTATAAAATAATTGGCTAAAATGTCTACGGAAAAAATATATATATATATATTTGAGTCGCTCACTGCCTGTTTTACCTAATAAAGAGTCAAGAGATATTATCGCATCTAGGTGCAGAATAAATAAACAGCTCTATAATTTAACACAAATTGAAAACTGGTCACTCAGTTATTATTATTTATTTAACTGTTGCTCCTCTGGGTTCCAGGTGTATCATACAGCTTCAACTGGGGGGGGGGGGGCGTCTCCACTTTGTCCTATTTTTTCCAGTCCTCTTTAATTGGCCCTAAGATTACTCGTAGTTTCTCATCCACTACTCCTCACATAGTCTCCTCCATGTCACCTCCGGACACACCCAACTCATAGTTTCCCAGTTCAGATTCAACTTCAGAGATGGCATGGAGCACGATGCGATTCGACGATCTCCTCACCTTGTGTCCAACCCATCAGTCTCCATTTTTTCGAAATGTTTGTTGAGCAATAGATTCCTAGTCGGTTCTTTGCCTGCAGAGCTCTTTATTGCTGAGTATTTCTGGCCACTCGATCTTCTATATGGAGACAGACAAGGCAGTTCCTAATAAAAATCCGAGGTATCCTGTCAGAAATGTTTTTCATGATATCTCTGCTGAAATTCTGGCCCACAAAGCAAAATTACCCAACTTCATATCAGTGCTCACAATATGGATATTGTTCTTCATGCTATGTAGTGCAGCAAGCAGATTGAGAAAGTTATTTCAGAGTGATGAAGATCTATCTTACCTTTCCAATTCTGGCTGGTTTCGACGTCTTCATTCGCTTGGCTGGCTGTAGTTGAAACGATTCTAGATGACTGAAGGAAGAGCCTCTTTCAAGCTTTTTCCATTGGCAGTGACTGGTAGTAGTTGTTGGTAGTTCTTTAGATGTCTTATTGGTTTTCGGCTGTAGGTCTTCAAGTTTATCCGACATTAGACATAAGTCATCCACGTGAATTCCAGATAATCTATAGTGTTTTCATGCGTCAAAAGTATTCCTGTCTTCTCGCTCTCCACTTGTGGTGTTCTGCATAATCCAGTCGACTATAGTTAGCAATATCATCCTCAGTAATAATAGTCAGCCTTGTCTTACTCATGTCTTCCTTTCAACTGCAGTCCTCTCCGAGTTTTCCGTTATGGAACGCCTGAGACGTGGTATCATCATATGTCTTTTAAACAATGTTGATAAAAGTTTGGGGCCAGCATTTTATGCTGTTGAAGTAGTTTCCAAATTTTTTCAAGTCCAACATTGTCGACAGCCTATTCAATGTCACTGAAGTTGAGATAAAGGTTTGACTTAGTTGGGTGATACTACGCAGAGTTGCAGTTTGATCTGTAAATAATTTGCTTTTCCTGAATCCAGACAGCTTGTTCCTTCTGTGACCACTCAATATCTAAGCAGAGTACATTCAAAGTTATCTAGGCACTTAAAGAAACCTCTCCAAACAAGTGGTATGTTTCCATATCATAATTTGTATTGCCAACGTCTTCGCAAAATTCGGGTATGGAAAACCTTGATTTATGCGTACATACAGAAGAAACTTCTCCATTCCTTGCTCCTTCTGCCTTGTGTATAACTGCGAGTTCAACAGTTGTCAGTATGTTTTGTTATTAATACTATTTTTCTCCTGTTTTCGTACGACATTTATTAACACCATTTTCTTAACTAACCTTTTGTTCACTCTCTTCCGCTGCCACATAATATGTATTTTAATACTTATCTCCATGCTGTCTCATGAACATACATTTTTCTGAAAGATTTGCGTATTATGCAACCGACCCCTAGTTACAATTTGATTATTCATCGCTATTTTGAAGTAGTTTAATGATATAAACAGTACTCTAGAGAAGAATGAGTCTGGTTTTTATATTTTTCTTGTGCTTCGATATTTCTATAGCCAATGGACTGAAAGAGGTCCTTTTCTTAGATTATCTAGACAGCCTCGTTCCTACTAAAGGCAACAGCACATATGAGGATGTCAAATTCAACCAGAATCAGAAAGGCAAGACAGACATTCATCACTCTAAAATCAGTTTGGAAATCTCCACTCCACCCCAACTTAAACAACAAACTTCGAATTCTGTTAAACGTCAATGTTAAGTCAGTCAGCAGTTCTATATAGATCAGAAACCTAACGAATGCTTCATGAAAAGCATTTCCAACAGCCAGATGAAGACTTTAATCGAAAGATCCACCCCTTGGTGTTCCGACACTGAAGATTAGGTGACCTGCAGGCTAGAAAGGATTACCAACAAGGAACTCTGGCAGACGACGAACAAGCCAAAATCCTATTTCCAGAAAAATAATACTAAGAGAAACTGTAATGGATTGGACATAGACTGAGGAGTCCATTGATGCACATGACATTCCAGGAAGGGTGGCATATAATTATTCGAGTAGAACCAGAATGGGAAACAGCTAGTTGGGCATGTGACTGAAGGGAAATAATAACTGGTACAAAATATTTCAGCGGACTGAGCAGTGGACAAAGAATATTCTCTTAATAAATAAAGAACAAACATATTAAGAGAATAATTCGAGCTGCGTGGATCCTAAACAAAATCAAATTGTGAGTTACAAAATAGCGTGTGAACATACCTAATAGAATGACTTGGTGTTATAAATAGTAAGTACAGGCAACAGTTCCAGAAATGAAGTAAGTAGACTAATTATCAAGTGTTAAAAGACTGACTGTTTATAGTGCAATAAGACAAAATGGAGGAAGTTTCATTTCGAAACAAGGACTGACTGGAGACAAAATACAAGATTGAACAACAGATTGATTGAATTTGCACATATTATGATGGAGAGTTCAGGAGGGCGTGGTGAGTGGTAAAGTAAAATTATAACATATGCAAAACATTTAAGGATATTTGGAAATTGAATGGATAATGAGTTGAGTGAAAATCAAAATGAAGTGGAATGTTACGCAACAGAACAAAAGACAAAAGCTCAACAATTACGGTTACCACGGTAGTAAGAGATCATTCATGCTATCTCTCTGCATATAGACAGAGGTTGGGTCGAAGTCTTTTAATAGCAGTGGCTTCTGTAAACCGAAATAACCATGGTTTCCTTTGTGTGTTGATTATTTCGAAAGCTTGACTAATTTACAGTGTATGTCTGGTGTCAACTAGGTGTTGTCTGGCAATGGCACTTGAGAACATCTCTCTGGTTTTCTTCATACGGAGACCTTTACGGACATGCTCAGAAAACCTAGTAGATGCCCACGTCTCAGTCCTTCCTGTGTACTTGCTGCGTCACGTGGGCATGTAAATTGGTAAATGCATTTGGGGTTGGTACGATACATATATATATATATATATGAATTATTTAACGAATATAAATTGTTATAAAGTGCCATAATTAAACGGACCAGATGTATGAAACATTCTTCTAGATAACTCCGACGTTTTCGTCAGACTACAGTTATATGTTGTCCATAATAATGAAAGAATTATTGTTATTAATAACATTAATATCAAGAGTGATGACGAAGTGACTTCAGTTAGGGAATCATGTAGTATTGGATAACTGTTTCGCTCTAGCATGGGCCCCTTCATCAGTCTGTACGCGGGATCTCACCAAGGGTCGAACTCGAGACTTTTAGATTACAAGGAGAACTCGTAGACCATGCAGCTATTACTGCTACTATTAATACCACCCTGGCCGGTCTGTTGTGGAGTACATAAAAAACAAAAATATAGTATTATGTCATACCTTTTAGGTAAGATATTCCATCCCATATACATATATATGTATACATAAAATCTGGACTCTGAAAAATTTAGATTTCGCACATTTTCTGTGTTTAATGACACAAAATCACGAAGACATACAAACGAAAATCAACAGGTTAACAGGAGAGGCAGGTAACGAAGACAGAACTTCATTTAGGCGAACACAAAGAAGACAGAGGTGACAAACATACCTAATAAACGACGACAACAACAAGCAGGAATCACTACCAACGGGAGACACTTAAAGGAAGTTAAATCTTTCATTAGCTTAGGCTCGTTTCGATTATGGAAAATGACACGGACGAGGTTCTTAAAGTCACATGAGATTGGAAAAGCAAAAGTCTTTCACTCCTGTGAAATCAGTGTGAAATACAGCTGCACTCTGCTGAAGCACAAAGAACAGGATTCAGGTTTTGAACTCTAATGTGAAAGCAGTCAGTTAGCCTTTATTGATTCAGAAACTGGGTGCATGTTTTAACGAAAGAATTTCCAACAGGTTATTGAAGATTTTCATTATCAGCATCAATCTTCGCCTCCTTACCGAAGATTAGATGACTAGCTGGAAAGGATCAGTAACAAAGAACTCTGATAAACGATGAACCAACTTAGAACCTATTGACAAAATGAATGAAAATTGATCGGATACATTCTGAAGAGACCACTGAGTGATATCATGCACCATGCAGGCTTTCGATTGGAACCCGCATGGGAAACAATGAGGTTGGCGTTCAAGAGTGACATAAAGGAGACTATGCACTGAGGACAACTACCTACAAAGAACTGGAAAGAACAGACTGAAATGAAGATGTGCTACTGAAGCTGGAAGTTCCACTAAGAACCCAGTGGGTATAGTAATAAAATAATTGGTGATTTGTAATTTAGACAAAGTTCACGGTGAAACCTCACCATAAACAAAATCCCTTAAAAACTGACATTATTCAGATTACAGGCACAGAATATAATGATCTACTTGGTACAACTATGTCAGATATGGGTGATGACATACCACTACTCATATTCACCAATCAGTAGTATACAGTATGATGTAAAATATTGATGTTTAACTGTTTTAAGTGAAGTTGTATGTCTCAATGATTCAGTGGAAAAAAATGCTCGGCAGGGGCATTTTGGACGGTCTAGATTCGACTTCTGATTGAAACACTCCCGAATCCTGCCTAGTCGGTAGTAACCCCGGAGTAAAAGAAAAGTGGTTGGTCGTCAGGCTAATC